TATATATATATATATAATCAAGAGCCAAACATTTAGAAACAAAATATAGGGAGGGTAGAATACATAAATTTAACAAATTGGTGCACTCAGTTCAACAAATTAAATTTATTCAATTTTAGAATTGTTAAGTTTATAGTAGAAATTAGATTTAAAAAAAAAGAAGAATTCTTGTAGCACACTTGTTTTTAATTTCTTATTAAATTGTCTCGAACTGGTGTGCATAGTTGTGAAATTTATTGCTGCTGTATTGTAACTTTGGGTGATTTTGTTTAAAGGTAAGATGTACATGCTTATTAAGATGTTTGCTGAAAGTAGTTTTGTACTTGGTTTAGGTAAAAATTTGTTTTCACATATTTTTTTAATGATCTTTTTAACTTGAATCACAAGCTTAAAGTTAGAGCTATGAGAATACTTAGTGTAAACAAGGTTTAAAATAAATGAACTATAACTTTTTACGTATTAATAGTATTTTATCCATACTGTCCTCCAAGCTCACTCTTTAGAGGTTAAGACCCTTTAAAACCAACCTATTAACACTTTAAACTGCATAAATATAGCAATATATATATTTTTGTATTTTTACTGGTTTAGTATGTTTTTATAGTTACTCTTTCTTACCACCTGAGACATGACAGGATACTTGATACAATTAAAAAATATTAATCTCTTATTTTTGTAAAATATGATATATTTAATAATATGAAAGTACAGTAAAGCATTCCTGCAACAGCCCATTGTGGTTCATGGAGAAAAAGGCTCCATAATTTCGCCATCAACAGCATGATTGTGCCAATGTGATGGTGCACAAGCTGCTTTACTTCCCGGACGAGCTGGAACCCATTGATTTGAATCGGGGTGGCTCTAAGGATCAAACGCTAGTTCTCCACAATGACAGTTCAGTGACACTGAGCTATCGTGGCTCAATTTTAATAGCTGCAAATGTTTCTGTTTGATATTTTTAAACTATGTACCCCCACCCTGCTTAATACAATCATTTTGCTTATTTTTGTGTTATATGTCAATCAGATGTGGCATACAAAATGATGACCTATTATGATATTTTAGTTTAAAAAAGAAGAGTACTAAAAATTATATTAATAAAGAAAAAATGTTAAAGTATTAATGAAAAAATGAAGTTATGAATAGACCAATTCATTAAATATTAACACAGAATCTAACTTAATTTTTTCCCCACTATTTTATTAATTTAAAATTCATGCAGTTTGGAGAGTATAAAATTAAGTGCATAATATGATTAGTATTTAAAAACTATATATATAATACAAAGAATAATATTTAACTTTTTTCATTAACTTCAGATAACTCGAGATGGTAAACTGGTGGCAAATTAAATGTTTCTTACATACAGAGAAAATTAAAATTTCAACTTACAACTTGTGTATTATGTTTTGTTTTAGTTCCTTGTATTTATTAATAGAATAAAAAAGTATGTTGACTTATTGCCATTTTTTTTCTTCAAAATAATTGGTAAGGAAAGTGGTTAAAAACTCATTTACATTGTTCTTTTGACTTTGTAAAGTTATAAAGGAAAAAAAACTTTTCCATGGACTTTTCATAGCAAATTAAAAAAATAAGGCAAAAGGTAGTGATCTCTCTATGTTGAAATTAATCTCACATCAATAGATAAGATAGTATACCAACATAACATTGAAATAAAAAAATGTACTAGTAAGGTAAATATTTATTTTTAACAATTTACTTACCTTTCAGCATTCCTTTGTAATGATTGTTGTAACTTGATAATTTCTTTCTTAGTTTTTTTAATATCTTCACCAACTGAATACATCTGGAAAAAAAAGAAGATTATCTTAAGACATTTTAAATTAGTAATGAGAAAGAAAAAAAAAGAACTTCAATTTTTATTAAAAAATTTCCTTGAATAATTTTTCTGTTACTTTCAAAAAGATAAAGATTAAATTGTTTTTAACTACAAAATAATAATATATTTCATGCATGTGCTAACAACCTAATGTCCAGTTTTCTACCCTACATGGGGAGTAAGCTGAAAATCGAAACATGTAAAACTCAATTGCAGTACTTTAACATTTATTTATTGAAATTATTAAACATTTAAAGAGCTTTGTACATGAATGATCTAAGTGAATTTATGTAAATGAACTTTTTATGTTGACTATGCCTTGGCTTTTTTTTCTTTGTTTCTGAACTTCCTATTGGGGAAATCTATATATTCGTAACCAGTCATTTAAACTGTTTGTGTTATTACATTCAAACTCTATGCGACTCTGACAGCGAACTCTTGCTGTCAGAAGACAAATTACTATTCATCAAACATTTATTTCAAATGCATTTAGGTTGAACTTTTTCATCAAAAGCACTCAGAGACAGAAATCATTGGAATTGAAAGTAGCAAAATAAATGAATGTTAAATAGTTTAAAAAAAAAAAGACCAAAACACTTATGAATTTTTCTGATTAAAAGTCACTTCTTCCACTTAACTCTTCATCTAATAAATTACCAGCTAAGTTGTCTACAATAAATCTTTTAACAGACCTGGCAAGATTGCATCTTTTTATAGCTATTTAATAGATCTATATCTTTTTTACAAGTGTAAGTTAAGCAATAGCATTGAAGGTTTCAACTTTGAAAATCTTCAGAATAAATCTTTAATGTAACACATTCTCATTGAAACTTTTAACATTAATAAAATACTTCATTTTTTACACTAGGAATAAATGTTTGCAATTTTAAATTTAGACTAGCGAAAAAAAGTAATCTTATCATTTTTCTTATACAGGGTTCCCACTCTTTTAACAAAGCAAATATTAAGCACTTTTAAGGACTTTTTTTTGGAAAAATTAATGACTTTAAAATTAGTAGGATTGTTTATCATCTGATATACTTATGCCACCAGTGACAGTGCCAATTATTTACTTTTCTAAAAAAATCAATAAATAAAAGAAATAATAAATAAAAAGCAATTTAATTATAATGTATACACTGATATAATTAAAAACAGTATAAGTAGCAATGTTAACTGAATAAAATGATTATTAAAGGACCTTTTAGCCGAGTAGATTTAAATTTTTATGTAACAATCTGCTTATCCTTAAGAAATAAAAATAATAGTGTAACAATTTAAACTTTAAAATAATTTTACAATGCAACAAAACAAATTATAAATAGTTACCAAATATTTAACTTTTTTATTAGAAGCAAATCATGCTTTCTTATTTAGTACTCGGGGGGAAAAAATTGAAAGTATTTTTGAGAAGAAAAAAACAACAACTTGGTTTTCATCAAAAACCTAATAAACCCCAAGTTTTTTGATGAAAAACTTAGGAAGGATGGGATTTTTCAAACCCTGTTTCTTACAGATCTGTTTAATTTTCAGCACAATCATAAATTTTAAAAATGTTATGCTTTCTATAAATGTACAGTTACTTATCACACATTGAAATATTATACAAATTTATTAAATTCTTCAAGATTTTAGGAAATAGTTTTCGTAATGGATTCTAGTTCAAACTTTTTTTTCTGATACTTTTCTTTTCTTAGCGTTTTACTTAATTCCTATAAGCTGAATTTCTTGAATTCTGTCAATTTTGAAGGTTAGTGTGGGTCTTCTACTTAGGTACCTTAACCCCCCTCCCCCCCCAAAAAAAGCACTATCTCTTTCATGGGCAGTATCCCCCTTGTCAACACTATTCTTTTCTTTTAGAAAGCTTCACTCTCTTCATAGAGTATTATTTTAGGCAAAAGCAGAAGAATATATTAATGAAAGAACCAATATATTAATAAAAGGGCGTGCTTTCTTCCCCTTGCCTGTAGCTTCCCCCCACATTAATTTTTGTTTCTCTAAAATGTTTTACTCTCGGCCTGGTCCAAATCTAAGTGATAAAAGAATGACATTTTGTTTTAAAAAATTGTTCTTATCAACTATAGTGATAATAAAAAATTAAGGACTTTTAAAAACCTTGTACCAAAATTAAGTACTTTTAAGAGCCCTTATTTTCCAAAATAAAAATTAAGCAGTTTTTAAGGATTATGGGAACCCTGTTATAATATAAAAAAATATCGAATACACATTATACTTGAATTGCCATAGCAAACTCCCTTAAAGTTTGGCAAATTCTAAATTTTTGGTCAGTTTGAAAGGACTTATAAAAACATTGATTAGTGCAAACTTTGTTGAGTCGTGAGTCAAATAAGTTGAACCCTGTTTACTGAGCAAGAACATTAGACTATTAGATATTTTACTATTAAGAGTTTTGTGCAATATATGTTAGTTTTCAGCTATTAACATTTATAACATCAGCTATTATTAATGCAATAAAAATAGGGTTTAACTCAAAACATCCCCACAAAAAAGTTCCATCAACTAACGACCCTTTTTTAGGTCAAGTTTAGGCAGAAAAGGGGTAAAAGTGGGAACTTCTCTGCGATTTACACTCAAAGTACTGATTTCTTCTCATTTCCCCCCTCTGAATTGAGCTTATATCTATTTGAGTGTAAGGTAGGACTTTTTTTTTCTTTTGCCAATTTTTATAGTTTTTTACTGTACCATATATAAATCTTGATCAAACAAAAAGTTTTTTTCAAATATTTACCAAAAAAGATATATATGTATATATTAAATTAAAAAAACAGTCAGTGAATACTTATAACGAGTTATAATTTCTCTTAGCTATTTCTTATTTTATTTTATTATCTGTGTATACAATTTAAGTAATTAACCAGCAACACTTTTGAAAGACGTTTAGAAAAATAACAATGCAAACCTCTATCATAAAATTTTTTGCCAAAGATTTTTCTCAATAGAAGTGATCTAAAGCTGACATTTTTTAAAAATATTTTACAAAAACTTAAGGAAAATATCACCTTTTGATACTTATGCTTAAATTATTTCTATGAATTGCTGATCAAGTCTGTTTTAATCAGGTAACCAGCTTTTTCCTATGCTATACCATATAGAAACATAACATGGGAGTATATTTCTCTTGAAGTTTGTGAAGAAAATATCCTTAAAATGGATAAATAGGTAACTAAGCTAACCTCAAAATTTAAATCAGTTCCTTGAGTTTTGTTGCTGTTGCTTGCTTGATCTGAAGAAGGCCTTTTTTTTGGTAACTCTGTTCTGATTAATTCTCTAGAATCTACAAGAAAAAATAATAACTTTGTAAAAAGCATTACAATTAAAAAAAATAATATTCAAATACTTGACATTTGAAAACAAAATAATTAATTAAAGATAAACAAATGCTTTTTAGAACAGGGTTTTCTATACCTTTTTTTACAAATTGCTTATTTATTTTTATATATAAATTTAGAAAATAATGTGAAAAAAAATCAACAGAAAGGCCGCAACCATTTTGTTAACTGCAGATTTTAATCACAAAAATCGAAACTTTGTGAAAGAAATTTAAAAACTTTGTTAATTAATTTGACAAAAGAATTAGTTTTTAACAGACCTATTTTTACTGATAACAAGGATAAATAAATAAATCCCTAAAACTATACTAGATGTGTCCTTGTTTCTCAAAAGAATTTTCTTAAATTTTGTTTTTTTCTATGTAAAACTAAATTTAAATTATAAAGAGTTTTTTTTTTTTAACTCTGGATTCTTAAACATTTGTCTCGCAAAATATGTAAACATTTATAACTTTTAAAGTGAATAATATAGAAAGATGAGCTTCAACAGTACTTTCCTAGCTGGTTAGACGAATATTTATGCATTGTGTATCTCTAATCCATGTTCATAAATATGGAGAAAAATGTTATGTAATTTAAAGCTAAATCTGAAATAATATACTACAACTTTTTATTGAGCAGCGATGGGAAAAGAAAAGATACATAATAGACATCGTTAAAAATATTTTATATGAAAGAATATTTTAAATATTGTATCCTAATGAACTCACAGCTATAAATGTTTGAAGTGCTTATGGTTATTTTAAGAAACTTCTGAACTATTTAATTTAACAATGCACATCTTTTTAATCCTAATTGTGGCTCCTATAAGAGACTTCCTGCGTGTAATATGACTAAACAGAGCAGTAGTCATTCATATTATTTCCAGTAAATATAATACTTAATATTTGTAAGACGACTACAAAGAAGAAAATAGGAGACAAAAATAAAAAAAATTTGCAGAGGAGCAAATTTTTGATTAATTGCTAATAGTTAGCTTTGATTAATAGTAGTCGAAAGTGGCAGCTGTTTTCCCCGCTGTTCTTGTGAAAATTTCACCCTTCTCTGGCGATGCTGTAGATAGCTCGCCTCACAGGTTTTAAAAATTTCTTAAAGTATTTTTGTAGTACATAAATAACAGTTTCTATGTACTTTAAAATAATTATTAAATAGTTAATTATAAATGATTATAATCAATTATATAAATAATAAAATAATAATAGTTAATTATAAATATAAGACAAATATTAAATTGAAAGGACTAAATAAATACAACTAACTTAAAACTTTATGAATCATTTAAATACAGTAATTAATAAATCTTTTTGTACATGCTATAAAAAAATTACAGTAATTACCTAAAAATCTTTAACAATCATAATTATCTAACTTTCACTTTTCAGCCATTTTACTTTACAAATACCTTAAAAAACGTGCCAAAATATGCACAAAAAGAACAAGGTAAAAAAAAAATTTCCCCTTCATTAAGAAAAGAAAATCATGTAACCCATACTGCGATCTGCAGACAGTAAAACTAACTACATTTTGTGAGTAGGATTCGTCTGTAAAATAATCAATGCAGAATAATAATGGCGAACAAGCTCAGCTCGACAGCGCAAAATTGGGGCAAAATTTAACTACACGAGTAGTGCTCATTTCTAACCATTTCGGTTGAAATCTTACTCCCGAGCGGAACTGGTTTGTGCGTATTATGAAGCACGATTCGATTGCGAGCTGAACTCGTTCATAACCATTAAAAGGCTAATTTAAATTCATTATTTCTAAAATTTGTGTGTTTCCACCATTGAAGTTTCTCTATAGATGAAGCTGCTAGCGACTCACAGCCTTAAAACAATCCTTTATTCTTACTCTCGTAAAATTTTATTTTTATCTCTTAACTCTCTTTTTAAAGTTAACTCCTCAATTAATTTCTTATTGGTAATAAATTATAATATTGGCTTCATTGCAAGGTTTAATTTTAAAATATCTATGCTTTACATTTTGTTTTTTCTTGACACACAAATTCTCATTCCAAAGAATTTGACAAATCTGCAATAACTAATATTGCTTCAATAATACAGAAGAAAAAAAAATGATGAAGGAAACACTGTAATTAAATAAATTTATTTTAAAGTTGTTTATGTAAAAATTGCATAGATTTTAATGGAAAAAAAATAATATATAAGGTAAGGTAATAAAATTTCATTATTTATTTAATCATAACATAAAATAAGCTTTCAATGAATAATATTGGAGTATACCATTACTTCTGCCAACATTTTGATTGAGGAAGGTGAAAATGGAGCTTTCATGTGTATTTTCCATCTTCTTAATTCTTTCTTCTTGTTTCACCTGCTCAGCCTTAAATCTATCTTCTACAGATTCAGGTCCAGAAACACTACGCAGTTCAGCGCATTTGTCCAAGGATTTACCTTAACAAGAGTTTATATTTTTTAATTTATTGTAAAAGTAACAGCTAAAAGTCTTCAAAAAAGAAATCGCTATGATTATAATGTATTCTGGTTAGGAGTATTTATTTATTTGATTTTTTGGAACAATAATGTTTAAATTCAAGATTATTTTGAGAAATAATTTATTTGAAATCATGATTAGAAACAAACGTTTTTTTCATAATTAAAACCTTTTAGTAAATCATGATTTGTCATCATTAAATTTAAAATAAGTAGCATATTTTTAGAGGAATATTTAATTTATGAGAAGCTTATTGGGTTGTTTAGAAAAGAATATAGGGGTGTTTCATAATAACTGCCCTTTTTGAATTTGAAAATTATATACTTTTAAAATCCCTTACAAAAATAAAGACAAAAAAATATGCACAATGGGGATCCCAAATAAATATTTAAATGATTATTTTTTCTAAGCACTATTGGACAAATTGCAATTGAAGACAAATACACAAAGCATCATTGAAGAAAATTATTTGAAAAATCTGCAAGTTTTAAAGGAAAATCATTATGTTTTGATAAGCCCTGCCTCCTTCAACAGTAATTCGTCATGGTAGGGTTTTTGTCCCCCCTCCACTTGAATACAGTAGTCTCCCTAAATAAAATTTTTCTATATCATGAAATTTTTGATTAAATTGTCGGGTGTACAAATAAGTTTCTGCCATTCATCACAATATGGCAGAAGGTTATGTAAAAACTGACCGGTGTTAAACGTCTTAGTAAGTTAGTTCATCTGATAACAACATAACCTTAAAGTATTAGTGATTCTGTATTAGCATTACTGTGATGTGATCATCACAATGTTTACTTTTTCTAAATACCTACTGGGCTGTCTCCAACTGAAGCGCCCTCTTTGTTGCCTTTGCTCCTAGCTCGTCTTTAGAGATCCTCGCCGGAGGGGACGCTATCTTAGTGAGATAAGCCAGTATTCCCCGTAGATCACACAATTATTTTTTTAGCTGCATGCTAGATGCTTTTCCCCCTGTGTGCTCCAGGTTTGTAATAATTTGTCGAAATTTTATCATTTTCCAACTTCATAAATTTAACAACCCGCAATTCCTTTATTTAGTAAATTTTACTGCAGCAATATCAGTCATGCTAATTACATAATTAAAATTTTTATACTCCCTGGACACACAGGGAGTACTCATAATCCAAGTGTTGGATTTTAAATTGGTGATACGATGTCATGAAGAACTTGTATGTATCTTATTTTGTCTAACAAATAAATAGAAGGACAAATCATTCTTTCATAAAAGTCTGGAATTTATTTATTTATCAATGTGGTTCTAAATAGGATATCTTCACTGTGCAGTAAGTAGGAGTGAACCTGCCTGCAGTTCAATGCAAGGAGAGCCGGGTTTATTGTTTTGTACAACTTTATTGATTTATGCCATAAACCGATCATCCTTCTTCTCTCTCCTCTTTGGATTCCCCATCGTGGCAACTCAGCCAACACACCAATTACATAATTGTTTTCGTGCAAAAGTGTCAAGTTTTGTGCTAAAATAAGCGTCATTTGCGGGAACTTGTGATTTACTGCTTCAATTTGAAGAAATCTACAGTATAGGCACATAGATTGCTTGGAGAAGCAAATGGTGAGGCTGCTTTAAGTGAGAGAAGTTGTCGTGAGAGGTTTCTGAAGTTTAGAAATTGTGAGTTTGACGTGGAAGACAAAGAACGCAGTGGAAGGCCGAAATTGTACATATACAAGGAATTGGAAAAATTATTGGAAGAATCGTCTGAAACGCAAAAAGAACCCGCTCTTACATTACAAGTAACTCAGCAAGCAATTTCACATTGTTTACAATCGTGGAGAATGATTCAAAAACAAGAAAGTTGGGTTCCATACGAACTGAAGCCAAAAGACATTGAACGTCGATTTTGCATGAAAATTGATTTTGCTTTTTGGAAACACTTCAATGGGAAGTTCCTTCCCATCTGCCAGACTTTGCCCCTTCAGATTATCATCTATTCTGGTCGATGACACATATATTCCGTCTCAGCAGAAATTTACATCATATGAAGAAACCAAAAAATACGTTAATTTGTGGATATCCTCGAACGGTGAAGAGTTCTTCCGACGTGACATTTGAATGTTCCCAGAAAGATGATAAAAAGTAGTGCCTAGTAATGGAGAATACTTTGAATAAAAGATAATGTACCGTGTTCAAAATAAACTGCTAATTTTTCACAGAAAATGGCAGAAACTTATTTGTACTTCCAATACATTCAATATATTTTCTATATAATGCAGTAGTTGTCTGTAAACATTGTTGAGACTTGGTTCAAATGTTTTCAATATCACTGTGATTAATGTCACTCTTTATAATTAAAAATAATTTAGAGGTAATGTGCAAGTAAAATTAAACATATTAGTGTCAAATGCATTATTCTCGGGAGAGATGAATACTAGCATATAATGTGAAATTTAAACATTTTTATGGGTAACAGAATGATTATAAAACTTATCAAAAATGACCACGGGATAAATATGTCCAAATTTGTGTGCCACTTACACAGATGAATGATGGAGAAAAAAAAAGAAGCTCAGAAAATATTAACTGTTAATATGCAAGATGAATTAAAATACACTTAATCCGAAAAGATCAGGCAATGCCAGAAGAAACTACTATTAATAAATATTTTGCTTCCTGATATTTCAAATATTTTATATTTACAATGAAATGGGCCAGTACTATTAAGATAATATAAATACTCTAATAGTTGTAATTTTTTATTTAAAAAATTAAATGCAGTTTTGATTTTATTTTGAAGTTGCTTATGCATGCAACTTTAAAATACAATTTGGAAAGTATAATAATTATGCTTATAACACAATGAAATACTGTTACTGCACACGTTCCTTATGAAATGCAGCAAAAAAAAAAAAAAAAAAAACGTTGGGCTTCTTCACCTTTTTTACCAAGAAAGTTGACTACAACAAGCTTTTTAATAGTTAACTAACACTTTCACAATTAGCAAATAAGTACAAAAATATCTATGTAATGTTCTCTAATTGAATAAAACAAAGAGAAACAAATTTAACGTGAGAGAAAGCTACCAGGTTTTACTCCAAACTGATTAAAGGTCAATTTTTAAATAGAAATTATTCATGGATATTTTGCTGTAAAGGATTTGTTATCATACAAACCACTTTTGAATACCTTTAGGGAATATAATTGCTTCAACTGGTTCAATTCTGCCATCACTGTTTTTTCCAAGTCCTTCCCTAAATCATGAAATGTCTAATGAATTAAAAATGCCTAATAAGTAAAAAAAATTTTTTGTAATGAACAGAAAAAAGAATTATTCTTAAATAACAGGTGCATATCCAAATTATTCAACAAAAAATAAGCACTTTTCAAGCACTCAAATAATATTTTTAAGCACTTAAAAAACACAATTAGGTAGGATTGGAAAGTTTTTGTCAATTGAAGGCTTTATCAAGTTTCAACAGTCACGTCAAAAAATTAAAAAAAAAAAAACTTTTGTCATGGTTTTTGACAATTGTCAAAATTATTGAATCATGTAAATCGAATGGCGTCTTCATACGCTACGGACTGACGATACGCCGAAATAGATTGGGGTTGAATTATTGTGAAAACGTTGAATAGAGCAATGTGAACAGCGTCTTGCTGCATAATTCGTAGCGAAAATCAACATGGTAAAAGAAAAATCTCATTTTGGAAAAGGAAAATTAAACACTTTTTAAAAACACCCAATGAAAAAAAGCACCTTTAAGGACTTTTAGAAAACGAAAATAGAAAATAAGCACCTCTAAGCACTTTTTAAAAACGCTACACACCCTGAATAACTATAAGAAATACAAATTAATATTTTCAAGTGATTTAAAATTGAAACACATCATAAAACTAGTATGACATGATTTAACCAGAAAAAAAATTCATACTTACCCCCAAACGTAGCCCATTTTTGCCATCAGTTTAGAACCAATGCCCTAAAATTAATTAAAATAATACTATTAGAGCATACATAAAATATGCTTTAAAGGATTATTTTATAGAGTAATTAAAAAAAAATCAATAACTCGAAAATTAACTAAATATGAAAAAAAAGCTACTTATATGGAATGTAGTAATCTAAAAAAATTTATTGAAAATATTTGTAGTACAAATATACAATAAATCATAGGCTTTGTTACACAAAATTGATTATATCAACAAGATAGAAGTCAGCTTCAATTTTCAGAAATTTTATCAGACAATTACCATTGTGGATTTGCAGTAAAAACAAGCCCAAGATGTACAACTTACTCTAATAAATTTAAATTATGTCTATTTTATAATTGAAAAACTGGATAACGCTTCTATGAGACATTTTAATGATTTTGAATAAATATCTTCATACATAAGGAATAGAAAATAAATATTACAGTCGCCTTTATTTCTTGTCTGCAAGATGGCAATTTGTAAAATCTATACATTTCTATATAAAACACTTTGTGTTATAAGGTTTGCCTACTTGGCATTTTAATGTGCTATAACGTTTACTAATTTTAAGGCTACTCATCAACGTTTCAAAGGTTCAACTTTGCACTTGGAACCTTTTTCCACTAAATGAAATACCTTAGATCAGAGGTGTCAAACTCAATTTTGCAGAGGGCCATATATTAAATTTAGAATATGTAGGCGGGCCAGATTCAAATTAAAAAAATGTACTTAATTTTTATAAAATTTTATTTATTTAATTATATAGTATATATATTTTTTTATATTTCCAATGGCAGACATGAAAGACAAATTTGTAGCTGAGAACAATATAAAAAAAGAACAAAAAACGGGAACAAGAGTTACAAAAAGAAAGAGTCTATAGGTCTGTAATAATGCATCTCGCCCGCCAATAACGTTCCCACAAGGGCCCAGGAGGAAGTGCAGGGCAACATCTCAGATGGTTAGCGACCATTTCTTCTTGTAGATTACATAATGGACAAAAGGGGCTTGATAAGATTTTGATTCTATACAGGTGTTTTGATAAACAGTCATGGCCAGTGGCAAGGCGAAAAAGGGCCACAGTTTTTTCTCTTGGCCATGACGGAATATCTTTAATTCCTTCCAACCAGTCCTTATTTTTATTTTTTTCTTGGAGTTTTGCCTCAAATGTTTTTCGAAGAGAGATTTTTATTAGCCTTTTTGGGGTATGGAAAGGAACTGGCTTAAGAAATATTTGTAGAATCTTGGTGGCTATAGTATATAATATACTGTTGTTAAAAATCATATCAAAGTTATAAAAGAGGGTAATTATTTTGAGCTCGAGGATCCAGACCTCGACTTCTTTTGTTTTGACAAGCTCATTTATGTCCGGTTTCATATTTGTTGTAATTATTTTAAGAATTGATTGGAGATGTTCATTCGTAAGTTTTGTGCGATGTTTGTTCCTATTTATTTTCATGATGGAAAACATCTGCTCACATAAATAGGTGCTACCAAACATGCACAGAATGCATGCTTTTTTAATTCCGGGTAGTTATCCAAACTCTTGAAATATTGTGCATAAAATGTAAGAGCGTTAACCTCTTTAAATTTTTCTTTCAAAATACTGTCCTATTGAAGATCTATCAACTCCATTTGCAAATGAACTGGTGCCTGTGAAGCTTCAAAATTGAATGGATTGTTGAAAATTGGGAATTCCGTTTCATTCATTTTGTGGAAGTCTTCAAAACGATTGTTGAATTCCGTGATCAGATTTTGCAGAAGTTGAGAATATTGATCCAATTTTTTTTTGGTTCACTGTTTAAATGAGGGAAATGATCCAAACTTTGATTTTTTACCTGATTTTCCCACAGTCTCAACTTTGTTTCAAAAGCTTGAATACATACAGTGAAATCCCACAAAATTTCTTGATGTTTTCTGTTTTAATTTAGTTACAACGCCCGAATGTTTGCCAGCCATGGCAGGAGCGCCATCCGTAGTTGTGCTGCTAAGTATAGTACAGTCTAGTTCATATTCTGCTATCAAATGCTCAATTGCAGAATAAATATCATTTGCTGTTGTAGTACCTGTCAATGGAACGCACTTTAATAATTCTTCAGTTATTTCAAAGTTACTGTTAATACCTCGTATAAAAACAGCAAGTTGAGCTGTATCGACAGTATCAGTGCTCTCATCAACAGTCAGTGAAAAGTTTGTAAATTCTTTAATTTTCTCCTTCAGTTGAAGAACCAAATTTTGAGATAAATAATTTATTCTTGAAGTAACAGTGTTTCTTGGCAGCGAAATATTTTGAATTATTGACTTTTGAAATGGAAATGAAACATCAGCAACCTTCAACACACAGTCTTTAATAAAATCACCATCAGTGAAAGGTTTTGATCTCTTCGCGATTTCTAATGCAATAATAAAACTTGATTTCATGGCATCTTCGCTCTCGGTATTAGCTTTAATAAACATCGATTGTTGACCTTGAAGTTTAGATTTTAAAGATGACAATGTGTCCATTCTTATTTTTTCAGTGCAACAATCGAATTTTGATTTATGATTTGTATCATAGTGTCTCTTCAAGTTAAACTCCTTAAACAGTAACTGTTTGATTGCAAATCAAGCACAGTGGTTTACCTTTCCATTCTATAAAAAAAATTGCAATTTCCCAATTAGACTGAAAAACTCTGCACTTACTATTAACTTTACGTTTTCGTGCCATTATGCCAAAATCATAACAATTATGGAACTCGACACAACAATTATGGATATCGCACGACACAAGCAAATGCACAATACCTTCACAATCGCTACTTCGCAGTACAACTAAAATCCTTCTCCAACCGTATTGCTTCAATTACTCGACTCAACTGACTCACGTCGCGCCGACCACTCTTTTCATATCGATAAGGAAGGTTCTAGTCTAGACTCGAAGCACGTGGAGGATTCCTCTTGTTGCTAAGAAATGGCATTACTGTCTATCTCTCTCGCTTGTCTAGGCACGCGTTAGCCTTGAAATTACTTATAAATGTAGTGTGCGCATTTTAAAACTTCCGTAGAGGAATCGAGTGAAGTCTAAAAGCTCTAAAAAAACATGATTCTTTCTGTGACACATTGCAACGCGGGCCGCCCGGGGGCCGGATGTGGCCCACGGGCTGTATCTTTGACATGACTGCCTTAGATTATCTCCTAGTATGTACATCTAATAATATCTCTTTATATTAATGATTTCTCCAAATAAATCAATCTTGCATAGTCAAATACTCTCAAAAATCATAATTTTTTTCAAAAATGTCAGTTAGCATCCTTTTCTACGAAGATTTCCAATTAGTAAATTCTTCAAAAGTAGTACATTTCTACAAAGGAAATATTTTTATTTTAGAACATCTTAAAAAAAGGAATAAAAACTAACCGTAGTATGTTGTTCCCACTCTCCCATAGCAGATGAACCCACCTGCACACTGTAGTTAATTTCATTTGAAGCATAACAAGAAGCACCATTTGGACTTCTGAATTCAGCAACACTTTCTGATTCTGAGGAAGAGCTTTCACTACTACTAGTGTCATCATCTGACAAAGCTAATTGGTCTATAAAGGATAAGATTAAAATTAATTAAGAGTAAAGTTGACAAATATATAATTGAAAATGAAATTATAGCACATTTTAATAAGGCAAAATAAAACAAATTTCAAAACTAAAATAATACTAAATAAAAATTATATTAACTTTTAATATGAAATGGAAACATCATTCATTACTTCTTAAAATTTAGCTTCTAAGACAATAATTAAAGGCAGAAAAAGGATACATGTTGCTAAGATAAAAGTTGGAAATGAGATATGGTTTGAAATTATAAAAGAACAAGAAATAAGGTTAGGACTAAAAAGAATTTTTTTTTTCATTTTCATATGAAAAAAAAAATTGTATTCTTTAGAACGAATTAATCAAAAATAAAATTTAAAAACTAAGGAAGCTTTAATGAAGCACATTATTTATGCACTGAATATAAAAAAATTTATTTTATTACGAAAAAAAAAGCATAATGACATCTATGGAAAGGTGATGTGTTGAAAATTATGTTAATTTTTACCCGATTTTTTATTTGCACCAAAATACATGGTTAATATACATACGTAATATTTTTTTAATAAAATTTCATATGGGTCCTTACATTAGAATTAAAGAAAAGGTAATTTAATTATTTCAAAATAAACTAGTTGATTAGTTTGAATCAATGTCATAAGATGTTGTGTACATAAAACCTTTTAAAAAAGCATTTAAAGATTAAGTACTTTTTAAAAGTTCGCTAAATTAAATTATTCATTAATACCAAACCGAATCAAACTAAAAAAACTTAAAGATATACCTTATGATCAATATATGTAAAAAGGAAAATGGATTATTACTTTTAAAAATACATAGAAAAACATTTTTCTTTAGCAATATGTTTTTTAAAAATTAATTTTATACTGATATTATACAATCAGATCAAACTTCCCACACTAATCTTGGCATCAAATTTATTTACTCTTTCTTTCAAAGAAACTTTGAAATTTATGTAGATGAAGGTAAACAGATTCAAAAAGAAATAAAAGTAAATAGTTGAAATTATGAATAATAAAAAAAAATTAAAAAAATTTTTTTTACATAAAAATGCATGAACATGATGCAAATACCCTTCAGGTTTTTTAGTTCAAAATATTTTAACAAAATAAATAAGAAAGATTACTAATACTCTTGAATTAATTTATATTAAAATTAAAGTGCCTTAAAAATATTCCAGCTTATGTCATTAGTAATAAAGATATAGATTAGTGATCATATAAATGCAAAACAGGCAAATGACTGGTCTTTCTTTCCCACAGAAGAGGATTTGTATTCTTTTAATGCCATAGAAATAACAAAAACTATTCAAGTACACCATGAAATATGATTCAACAGAGGATACGACACCAACCAACCAACTGGTATTTTTGAGCTTCCTTATATTTTACTACTTTTACTTTTTTCAATCACACATTTCCATCTGGCATCATTTGTACTGCACTGACCGAATTCTGGCATTTTTGATCATCATTTATTTACTGCAGTTTTTCAAAGACCAAATTTGTTCATTTGGTTATTGTGAAATTACACATTTTTATCACGGGGAGGGATATGTGTCAAATTAAATAATTCAATTTCATCACATATTATAATAATCTCAAAATTAAATGAGTATTTAAGAAGAAAAAATTAGACTAAAATTTCAGGTGGATAACAGAAAAATGCCAATAAATATCGATACAAATCCTGAAAAGAAAATAATTCTTATTTAAATACTTACTAAGTGGTAGAAGATCATGAGCATCAACTGTTATAGTATCACCTGAGTCACTATCTTTAACAAAATATTTATGGTCCCCCAAATAATGTTCAACAACAGCAGTATGCCACAATCCATCTTCATGTTTCACTAAACATCTTGAATCTCTATCTACATCGCTGGAAGCAAAATAAATAAATAAAAATTTGAACTAAAAACAAAACTGGTAGAAAAAAAATGCCTACAACTGAAAAGCCCTGATAGTACAGTGGTTACTATGTATTATACTTATTTAAATAAAAAATAATGGGAAAAGATTATTAATAAGTTGAGTAAATTTTTGCATTTAAAAAAAAAATCAAATTTATCAAAAAGAAGGAAAAAAATCAAACATAATATGTTAATCAATTAAACTGAATATGAGTTTGGAAAAATAGATTTTATTTTATTTGCATTTTTTTAAAGTTTTTGAAGTAATAATTAAAAAGCATATAAGTGTTCAGGTATACAGATTTAGAAAAATGTATTATTGTGAAATACTGCAATTTTCTCTGATTAGTGAACTAATATTTTTCCCCAGAAAATAAATATACTCCCCAGCCACTGACTACACTTCTAATATATATATANCAATGCAATTATATATATATATGTATATGTATATATAAGAATTAAGGTGGATTATTAAACATAAATAATTCATGATTTATTATTTGCATCTTCACATGAAATTAAAGAGGCATGTGTATACAACTTCCCAGCAATACATATTTCTTTTCAAGGTTAAAACTTTCCTTTTTAATATTTGGACATTCTAGGAAGATGTATTTCCAACAGGAGTTCCAGCCCTGGTTTTAAAAAATGTATTTAATAAGTTCTAAAAATTATTATCTTCCCTTGGCACAACTGTTTTATTCTAATGCTATTAAATCATTGCAGAAATTTGAAGAAAAATTTTTAAACCTAATTTCTAGAATGTGTATGATTTATAAATGTTTCTTTTCTTGAGAATATAGCATAGCCCCTAACAGCATATATTTAGCATAGCCCCTAGCTATAATATTAACATGGATTATTTTCTTTTGCTAATGGAAATAATATATATAGTACATGATTAAAAATGGTTTCTTACAGAAATTATGAAATTTAGAAATCGTTATTTAAGTTCATTATAAAATGGTTTTTGAGAATAGATGAACTTAATCTTTGCAAATTACTGATAGTTCATATTTCAAATACTTTAAAAATATCAAACTAAGAGTAGCCGTTTGTTAAGATTGGGAGCAATATTTCATTACATGCATTTAAATTTCAGAAAAAAAAAAAAAAACAGACACACCTACTCCCCAAACATATTAAGTATAAATAGATGAATAAACAACCTCTTCAGAATGCAAAGTGATACCACAGTAAAATAATCAATCAAACATTTTGATTTAAAATAAATGCATAAAAAAAATTTAAAATAAAAAATTCTTGTTTTTATTCTTTTTTTCAACAATTTTGTATTGAAAAATATTTGAAAATACTTTTGAAATATGAGTTTCTAAGGCTGTTTTTTATCAGTATCTTTCATATTTGGACTATAAAAATTAGCTTTCTTTTAAATGGAAGTTAAATTTCAATGCTAAATATATAGCTTGTTTAGTTACTATCAAAAACCTCTCTGAGAGTAACATTTCTAAACCATATTTTTTTGTCAAACGGTATCTGAACAACTTGTTTTGAATTATGATAATGCAATTTTAAGCTGATTAGATTTCAAAACAATATATTAGGTTATTTTACTAGAATTATATCAAATGCCTCAACAAAACAAACTATAGATAGGATGACTTATAAAAAGTTTTTGAAGAAATGTTTTCGGAAAAATATAATAAAAAAAAAGGTCTCTGATAAAATAACTTTGATTTATATCCATGAGAAAATCCATCTTTCAAACCACTATAGCTAGAATGATATGCCTTGCGTTGCTTTCGTCACAATAGCCAAGTACATGCAGACAGACAATTATGCCATAAATAAAAAAGATATTTGTGGTTTGTATCACAGAAATAGAGAAGATTGTTCTGATTTCTAAAAGGCATTGAACACTGAATACCTAGCGCTCAGTTGCACTTGACTGTTTTGGTATGAACTCTCGACTATTTTCCCAGAACAAGTAGATAAAATAACATTTTCAATTCATAAGTCATTTTCACAGGGAAATCTCCATGCATTTCACTCTTGAAATTTAGACTGAGTGCTTATGATAAAGTTCATAGAAATTTGAGTATGAGTACAGTGAGTGTTAAATAATATTCATTAACCCCTTCCTTCTCGCTCCCGTGAAAATGACGGGCTGAGTTTTCTCCCGCTATTTCTTGCTCCCGTGATATTGATGGGCTGGAGTGTTCAGTAGTAACGCGCCAAGAAAAATAAAACTAATTCATTTCTTTTGCCCAGAAAACATTTTATTTCTCATTTTACACACCTGATGGCAGTAACAGGATATTTTAAAGGTAATTGTAGATAGTTAGTATATTTTAAACTAGTTGCAGCACTAATCAAATACGTAATACAAATACAAAAGCCAAAAACATAGGCACTTTTATGACCGTTTTCTTGAAAATTAGCCGATCGTTAAGGGGTTAATAGTGGAACTTGTGTTGTTTGTCTATTCCTGCCTCATTTTCTGCTGGTCCTTAAAAATCACCTAAACAGATAATGTTTAATAATCCCGGACTTCACATTACTTTTTTTAAAAAGAAAATCCAGCTTCATATGCTATTCTAACAGATCACGTGAATGTATTACGTATAAACGTGAATGTATAAAGGACTATTTTCATTTACCAAGCTCATACAAACTTTTTATGAGTATTATTTTTCTTCCCTTTTTTACTTTTAAGAAAATTGTTTACTAGATGCATGCAACTTTTCTTACATTCTTTCTATTCTGTTTTTTTGTCTGTGAGAGGGGAGTTCCCCCTTGAGTCAAAATCAGAAGGGTGGTGGGATGGGCAAAGTACAAAAATGATCCAAGAAGGGAAGTTTAAATTGTAAAATTTGCAATGGAATTTTTTCCAGCAAATTTCAACCTTTGAATCTTGGAATGACACACTAAATAACTGGTTAGGTAATAATTTATTTTTCTCAATTGCAAGATGCTTCTAATGAAATAGGTTCTGGAAGCTCTGAATTTGTTTTGTATAGTGTTGGACTATAAAACTAAAATGCATTACTAATGAGTTTAATGAAGTTTCTTGTGGTTATACGCTACTCAGCATCCATGGGAAACACTGGCATGTCTGAAAATTTTCTGAAGTTGCTGATGCATATATCAACTTTACATCATATCTGATTTAATGTATGTTTCCGATGAAGATATGCAAAAAATATTGTAGGATATACCCACAACTGAGCAAGAGTTTGAAAGCATAAAAACATTTGTGATTGTAAACCATTAAGCAAATAATAGTAAGTATTGAGAGGGTTCAAATTGTATCTAAAAACAAAAAGATTACACATTAGTTTTCTATCTAGTAAGTGTCAATTTTTAAAAATTAAATTATGTTTTTTTAAACTGATTTTACGTTATTCAGCTTTGTGCATTTTTCTATTCTAGTCTGACAGAAAATTGTGGGTTTCACTGTATATTTGCATAGTAAATCAAAAATACATAAGTAAATAGTATAACTATAGACATATAAATCATTGCATGTGACATTTTATAACATAACAAATGTTGAAACAAAAAACTATGATCGACAAGGTTTTGTGCAAAATTAAAATAATAAAAATATAATTGCAATCCACAAAATTCAGGCAACATTTGAAATGAAAATTAAATCTAAAAATAATTTCTTTATAGTAAATAAATAATAATGTGTGCATAAAAAAATAATATTAATAGTTTTAACTCACAATAATAAAACATAATATTACCTATAATCAGGAAGAATATATTCTTCTAAATCTGAATATTTGATACTATATCCATGAGAATACCTGAAACAAACGACATCATAATTTTTATTAAAAAAATAAAATTGTATTAAATACATCATAACAAATATGTAATTTTCTAACATAACATAATTGTAAATAATCCAATATCAGCTCAGAACAAATTATTACCTGCATCTGTTGTCATGAAATTTGCAATGACCGTCCAAAAAATATGGACAAGGTCTCATTTCTTCGCAAACAGGGTTGCAAAACATCACTTTTACCTGAAATAATAAATACTTTTCAACTATAAACATATAAAAAAATTGAAGAAATTATGATAATGTAACTGATATGAGAGTGATAGATACAAAAAATTAATTTTAAAGGTATAATGATACAGAAGTCCTACCCTAAAAATAAATTCTAAACATTTAAAATGTTATTTTCAACAGTATAATTGAAGGTTCTTCCTTTATGTCTTTCATTAAACTGAAATAAAAATCTGTACTTACTTATCTTAGTATATTATCAAAATTTTGTTTTGTTCAAAAATATTTATGTAATACCAGGGGTCTATCTAGGTTTTTCTGAGAGGTACCTATTTTGTGAAAATGTTGACATAATTTGTGAACAATTAAAAATTATATTAAAAAATCAACACAAAAATATGGATTTATCGTTTCTAAAGGAATAAAAAAATAAAATTTTAAGAAAATGTATTTTGTGAAGCTACCGTTTTTCCTAAAGTTGAATTTGTGAAACTACCGTTTTTCCTAAAATTGAATTTGTGAAGGTACCGCTAAATGGTAGTAAATTCGGCTTGGACAGACCCCTGAATACGAAAATTTAAAAAAATTTCTAATTTAAGCCTTGTTTTTAAGCAAAACTGATTAAGTTGTAGATATATACACATATAACAGATCAGAAGAATTGGATAAAATAATAATAAAAATAAAAGAATTTATACTGAAATAAAAGAATTTATATTGTAATAAAATATTTACTTCATAGATTTTTAAACAGTGTAAATTTTACAGTATCCGATAAAATCTTTGTTTGATATGAATTTTAATGTTTTTTTTATTTGATTTTAAACTTAAATCAAGCTTGTTATTTTCTAAGAATGCATTAAGTTTTGCAATGGTAAATTTTTAAAAGTAAAAGCATCTGAGTGAAATAATGGGGACAGATATTAAAACTAATATAGCGTGATTCCACAGTAGTTAAGGCTTTAAAGACTGGGGTGTTATCTCGACTGAAGCTCAGCCAAATTCAGTTCAATAGTTACTAGCTTGATTGAGTCTGCACTATGCAAACCACATTGCATAGTTCAACACTAAAATGCATGGTCAACAACTGGAAGTTTCAAGAGTGCTTTACTTTTTTTATTCATTTATTTAAAGAAAAAATGCAGATTAGTTTGCCTCCCATTCTATACTAAAAAACAACAATAAATAAATTAACAAAAATCAAAAATTCTTTTAGTTCAAATGCAGCAGTATTCCATATTTACAATTGAACATTTCAAAGGTTAAAAAAGAATGTTACTTAGACAGTAAGAGAACTCATATTACATAGAAAGTATACAAATAAAAATAAATTGCTTTCTAATTGGAAACATTTATTCTAACAATTGTTTTGAAAACACCATTTAATGCTTTTGAGCAGTTAAATTTAAATTAAACAAGTTGTTAAAATTTGAGTGAATTCATATTACACATTTTAGTGAAAGGAGTTTTAAATACTAGTAATGAGAATATCAGTCAATCAAGTTTTTTATTATTTGTTTACTTAATAAGTATAATTTTTTTTAGTTAATAATAATTGGTTTATTTAATAAGCCCTAGGGCAGAATTCTTTCAGGCTTTCTGCGACATACCTCTGCAGCACTAATATCCTTCAGATAGATATTTAAATAATAACCAATACACATGCTACTAATTTAAAGTAACAGAAGTATCAATTTCAAAAAACAATAAATAAATAAATAAAATTTTCCGGAAATTTTTTTTTTTAATTGAATGTGTACCGTCATTCGGGGCTACTTTGTGCAAATTCGAATTTGGCATTTTTCAAGTGCTGCTATTCAGTATTATGTTTTTTTTCACGTTAAAAATGTGTGGAATTTGAAGATAGAAGTCTCCTCTATTACTACAAACATTTTTTCGAATTTTAAAACAATCTCAGAGTGTGTTTCGTTCATCCAATGTCAACAACTTTCCGAGGACGTCGGATGTCGAAAAGTGTGCGTGGAAACTTTAGCTGTGAAATGCAAAGACGTTGATAAAACAATTGTCGTAAGTGCAAAATTTTTTATTTATATATTAATAAACAATTATATCATGTTAGCGTTAAAAAAATTTGAAAATTAATAACAAATAAACGGAAAATGAAAAAAAATGCACTTTGGGGCTACTTTGTGCAAAGTTTCATTCGTTTTTTTTTTCGACAGAAAAATGGTCAGACGTTATAAAAAAATACCTGGAACGAGAAACTACCGTGATTACACTTTAGAAAAGCTGCAACAATGTTTGCAAGCAGTTGCTGGTGGTATGTCGATTGCAGAAGCTTCTCGGAAGTACAAAATCCACAGAAATACTATCTCTAATAAAATTCACAAGAAACACGTGAAACGTGCTGGTAAACTATTATTTTTCTTCTACAAAGATTTTTCTAATGAATTAATCAAACGATTTAACACATAAAAATATATTTTATAGGACATCAGGTGATTTTGACAGAAACTGAAGAGCAAGTTCTGTCATGTTCATTCAAGCATGTTATGTTCAAATTTATCAATATTATAAATGTTAATGAATATGTAATAATTATTATTTTTGAAATTTCATCCATTTCAATGTTCAAAAATGTATATGGTTTCCTTTTGTTTAAACTCAAATGTTTTGAAATAAACATTCTTTTTAAGAAAAAATTCTTTATAAAAAATGGTTTTTTAACGCTGAAAATTATTTTCAAACTAATATCTTTACATATCTTGATGTTTTTGTTATTAAAAATGTCAACAATTAACTTTTTTAACAATTTTATATCAATATTTTACTAAAAACATGATTATTAAACTGAATTCCTATCGCTGCACAAAGTAGCCCCATTTGGGGGCTACTTTGTGCAAGGTATGTTTTGACTTATTATTCATAAATAGTACATACAAATAATGCCAATATTTATCAAATTCACTCGTCTGAGTCCAGTTATGAATATAATATCGACAAATTTTACTAAAGTTTGAATTAACATAGTTTTTTTACATGTCAAAGTTCAAAAACTGCGAAATCCTGCACAAAGTAGCCCCGAATGACGGTAATATTTTTTATTCTAATATTATAGGCGCAGGAGATATTCTCGCATTTTGTAGAGGAAAAATATACTTATTATTTCCTTTTCCTCATTTTGTATATTTTCATCACATAAAAAAAAATCCTGAAATCTGTAGCTGTAATTACCGAAACGGCGAATGATCGACGGTGAAATCAGGAGAATCTGACACTTCAAAAAGGGGTAACTAAATGCGTGTTTTATTTTGAGATTCAGTTGTTGCCATAAATAATATCGTATTAAAAATATAGGATTTCAAAAGTTATGTGGAAATCAATAGTAAGTACTGCGTAAAAAATAGGATAAAAATTTCTACAGAAAAGAAAACTAAATTTTTAACCTTATTACTCTTTATTCTCAAATGAGAATTGAAATATCATAGGCATTTTTTTCCCATTCAAATTTGCAAGAAAGGCATCTTTTGAATGAAATTTTGAAGAAAAGATAAAATATTTGGAAAAATTCTGCAGAAAAGAAAACCAAAACTTCCCAAAGGAAAAAATCGCTGAGCAAGAATCCTTCTGCAACAATGATTCTGGCACAGGGTTAATAAGTATTACTTTTGTAATTCACATTTAAGTTTGCTTTCATAGTTAAAACAAAATTAAATAAAGCTAAATTAAGCATATTTCTTCAAGAAAAGGTTCCAAGTTGAAAGACTCCACAACATTCTTAGGACTTTTCTATAACTTAATTTCTTTCATTAAAATAATGAGTTTGTTGAAATAAAAATTGATAAGTACCGATAACAAACTATTTATTTTTAATCATTATATTACATTTTTAATCAATGTACTTACATTTTGTAAATTGGAAATATAAGTAGATAAGAACAAATAAATACGTTTTAAAATGTTTTATCATTTTAGTAACAGTTTACTATAAAACTTAGAGTTTTAACTCAAAATTGTCCTGGTTAAAAATTGTCCTTTAAAATGAATAATTAAGAACATCATTTATATTATTAAAATAAATATAATTTTGTTCCTTTTTTGAAATTCATTCCTAAAACAAACAATTTAATATTTTTCTTCAGCTTTTTCTTCAAATTTACGATTGATTTAAATATGATTTGATTCATTTTTATACTTAATATACACATCATTAGCGGCCTTTTTGTGAGATATTTTGCACTTATGGCCCCTGTTTAATTGATCATCTGAAATTGTTTAAACAAGTCTAATTTTATAATTCTATCATTTTCATTTATATGAATATTTTTTTTTGTGTGTGTGAGGTTTCTTGAAAAAGGAAGACTACTGCCCTATATTTAAATTCATCTCTGTGATAAAAAAAATTCAACAAAAACAATGTTAGCAAGTTTCAATCATAAAAATGAAATGTTTATAATTGTATAGATAAAGTTTTAAAAAATTTTTTGTTTACATAAAAGCACAACTACATTACCATTACATCTTGAATGTCATCAATATCATCTTCTAAGTCGGTAGAAAAAATTATTGCATTATGGTATCCAATTTCTCCACGTTGGCTTCTGAATGGAGCACGACACTTGTTGCCCTCCATGGAAGACAAAACTTTGCATAGCTCATCATGAACATTTTGATCACATTTACTTTCATCTTTATCGGCAGTTTCTAACTGATTTATTTCTTTCTGAAAAAACTCAAAATAATTTGATGCTTATATTTCAAGCTCAAAGTTTTGATGAAACTGAAAGCTTTTGTACAATATAGTCCAATACTATCTTTTGATTTACTGATTTTTTTAATGTCTTAACTTTCTTTAAATAACCTTATTTTTCTGTTTTTAGTCTAGAAAAACTTATAATACTGTAACCTTTCATCTCTGAAACTCAGGAACTTTATACAACTTAAGTTCTTCATACATTTTATTCTAATTCTAGTTTTCAATGTAACATTTTTGAGTTTTTAAAAGCCTTTATTTTATTAATTTTTTGTGTTCCTAAATTAATCCAATTAAAAACCACTTATTGCCTTTTTTAAGGTTAACACAAAAGTCAATATTAGCAATGAAAGGGTGAAATCAAAACAATGTCTAATTTTAGTTAAATATTTAAAGAAAATTTTAAAAGAAATGACACTAATTAAAAATATTACTTAAAAAATTGCTTCAAGTGGGAAAAAAAAAACTATTATTGGAGCATTTTAAGAAAGAAATTGCAGGCAAAAACAATTTAACATTGACAATATTACATTGCACAAATAACATAACATAAAATACCATAAGTAAAAATTCCATAATTTAATGAAGTTCAACTTTTAATTGCAGTTTTAAGTGTGTAAAAAGTTAATTATACCTGAAATTGAAGAAATTCATCATCAATATTTCCATGACTTGACTCTTTAGAGTCATTTTTGGCAGATACAGACTCATTTACACCACCTGAACAAAAAATATTGTTGTAAATCTTTTAAAATTAAGATACAGATTTGTATACATGATTACACAGAATAAATATAAACACCTTACAAATTGACAATATACATTCATTAAAATCATATATAAATTTTTATACTAAAAATAATTCAGATCTTCATAAAATGCCACATAAATATATCTAGAAACAGTGATAATAATTGTAGAAATGTAATAAAAAGTACTCAGAAATAATAATAATTCATTGAAACCTGTGTTACAATTACTCCTATAATATGAACGCCTCTCATTATGGACTTATTTCCGCGAATCTTCTATGAATAAATCATAATGTGCCCTCTTCGCAAAGCGGACACTCCTGCAAGAAGATGCAGACAATAATTTATGACCACAAATTATTATATTCAAACTCTTCAAATAAAACACCACATTTTCCACATTAAAAAAAAAAAAATCCATCTTACCAGTATTTTTTACCTTATTTATAACTAAAAATATTGTTTATATTGCTTTATCTATAACTGAAAATAACTGTACTGCTAAAGAATCAATCATTCTCCTTTCTCTTTGCAAAGGAATGAGAGAAAATGATAGTGCTCATGTGAAACATTTTGGACAGAGGCATCTTTAAATTTGGACCACAAAGATAATAAGATATTGAAATATAACAAAACATATTGAAATATAAGAAAAAATCTTCTTGAAATATAAAAAAAAATACTGATGTATGTGTTAATAAGAAAAATGATTGGTATTTATATATTTATGAAATCTGGCAACAGATTAGTACTACTACTTCAACTTCCAGATATGAAGCCCGTTCTCTTCTTATTTTTTTTATTTATACAATCATCACTCTATTTTGTTTCTTTTTACACAATGCTGAATAAACAGTTAGTTTAACTTTAAGATTTTAGATTCAGTTAATACTTGTATAACTTAATAATTTTTAAATCTGGTTATAATTTAAAATCAGAAAACTAGTGTATCCTTCCCGTAAATGGACAACTCTCGTAAGCAGAAATTTTTTTTTTTTTTTTAATCCAAAGAGAGCATGCTTTAAAGAGGTTTCAATGTAACTGTATAAATGTCTCTAAAAGTACTCAAAAAGTTTTCTGTACATTAAAGAAATTTCTTAAAATATAACAAAAAATCTGGTTATAATTTAAATCAGAATATTAGTTTCATTTAAAAGCATAATTTGAAAATATTTCAAAATAATAATAATAATATGAGGTGTCAGGGGTTTGACAAATAATGCTGCTCTCACCCTGAATAAAAAAAACTCTGGTATCATACAATAACCTTATCAAATATATGCAAATATACTTATAGATTAAGAATACAAATATATATTTAAAACAGTGTAACAATATATACTTGATAAAAGTATGTTAATTAAATTTTTATTATTAATATTTTTGATATTTTGTGAACATGCATTATTTTAAGTATAATTGTTTCTTTCATTACTATTGTTTAGTTTTTAACTTATAAAATATCTTGATTATTAAATGTAGTTAATAAAATTACTCCAACACATAGTTGCACCCAGTGTTCTCCCTAAGTCCTTCTAAAAGGGCAGCCTATCCTACCTGCCCTTTGAGCCCTGTAAATGCACTCTCTTTGTAAAAATAAGCCCCCATCCCTTAAAAACACTGACTTTTTCCTTAGATTCCATTAAAAAAATAACAACTCACAGTTTAAATAATAATTACACACTGATAAAATTATAGGTTTAATGATGATAGTTTGCTTTAGTTTAATGCTTTACTTTATAGGTTTAATGCTGATTACTATAACAAATATTTACTTTGATAGGATTATTCTCAACTGGTTTAATTTTTATGTTTCTCTTTTTTTCAGGAGGTATATTGATGAATTTTTTAAGTGATTTTAAATTCTAAAATTATTTTTAAAATAAATACTTTATTTTTTAAAAAAAATGCTCCTTTAAATGTTCATTTTTTAATAATTTTAAGTTTAAATTATCGATAAAAAAACTCTCAAATGCTTAGGTTTGATTAAAAAAAAATAAATTTATTAGGTTTATATATGAAACATTTTTTTAGTTTACTTTTTTAGAAAAGAATTTAAACTCAGAGTTAGTCTTTTAGCAGGTCTTTAATTTTATAAACTATGAATTTTTCTCTTGTTTTGATAATGTGTGAAAACTACTTTTTGAAATATATACAGAAAATACATGATATAAGAGGGTAATTAAAAATTGTTGAAGATTAAATTCAGCTATTACATAATATTACACAATTTGATAAATTTTTACAGTGTTAAATGAGTGCCCTTTCAAAACTGAAAGTGCCATTTTCTGTGAGGAAGCACTCTGCCCATTTTTATTCCTAGAGAGAACTATGTTACATCATTTATTATTCAGGATTACCATTAATTGATTTTAATAAATAATTTTAAAATTCTTTTATCATAACTATTCTTAAAGTTGGAAATTAAATTTCTATTAGTAATTTTGATATTATTTACTTTATTTTTAGTGCCTCCATAATGTAAAAGTAACTGTAAAAATTCCATTTCAAACAAAAATGTAAGAACCTTTTATGATATAGGATAGTCTGTCTACATAAAGAACTTCTCTCACCACAAAATCACAGGCGGTCTGCTGCTATGGAAACAAAGAAGGGATCTTAGCAACAGACCAAAGAAATACGATTTCGCCAAAACCTGTCTAAAAATTGTAACTGAACACTTTTATTTGAAATAGTAAAGCTTTGTAACCATATGCATGAACACTGTTCTAGATGAATAGCAAGAGAGCTTTTTACATAAAGACATAAACAGCCATATATATTACCTATTGCAAAATGCATAACATTACTACCAACTATTTTGTTAAATATGTAGAGTTTAATTTTCAGCAGAAGTTTTGTCATGGAGGAAACCAAAAAATCTAACAATTTGTAAAGATCGAGTACAAACTTGAAAATTTGTTTTGTTTTTTCATCTGGCTTATTTTTTATTTATAATACACACAAAACAGATGAATAATTTAGGGCTATGTTTCGTCTTTGAGTTCTGTAAAAAACTTATTTCTACAATGTCAATATAAATCAGATATCTCTAACCACAGTTAAATCATTTATTCACTGGCATAAATAGTTTAGCAATTTTTTTACAACCCTTAAAAATGGAATATAATATCATAATTCATTATTTTTGATGACAACAAAATGAGATAAATCTGACCTTGCAATAAAGTTATTACTTCAAAAAGTTTATTTCTGAGGTCAATCAGTTCAACTTTGCTGTCCCCAGTGGCAGTCTTTATAGCATCTTCAACAGATAACAACTATGTATAAAAAAATATTCATTTAGTAAGAGAAACTAATTAACAATATATATATATATATATATATATATAGTATAATATAAACAATAACACACAATATAAGAAAGATGTTTCTAATAAAAATATCTGTATTGTTCTGGAAAATGGAATTATAAAAGCAGTACAAGTTGCCAAAAATAAGACTTACATATATAGTGTCCCTGCAAGTGTCTCAAAAGTGAGAGAGTTATCTATACATAAAATAAGAAACAAGCTAGAATAAGAAAAATAAGAAAAACTTGATGCAATAAGCGTAAAGGTTCTCTTTAGGATGTATTTTACAACAGATGCATTTCAAAATAAAGAATAATTATTCTACTATAAAAATTATGCTTTATATTGCACAAGTGCCCTAAGAATATGAAATGGAAATGAGTTTAAAATGAAAGAAGAAAACAGGATACAAACTAACACATATAAAGTAAAATGAAAAATACCTAAAAATAAATTGACTAATCTAGCAGTTAACAAAATTGTTAAGAAGAAAAAATATACATGTATACATACAGGAGTGAAACTTATGACAGTAAAAGCTTTTATGTAAAATGGTTCTACAGTTACTCTAGACATGAGGTGAAAATGTAATGTACTTATATAAAGTTATAATCCTATATTCTCAAAAGTAAAGTGCTGATCGAAAAAAATATCACTTCTAATAAAACCTATGGAGACAGTATTACTATACACAATTATAATACATTATTTCAACAAAATGTGTTTAAAATTATTCTTTTTATTAATATAAAATAAAGACTTTTAAATTGATAGCATGTTTCCAATATTACCAGCTTAATTCAGTATACCTAAAAGTAAGAAACATTTATAGCTATCTAGCTAGGTTTCTATATACTATTTTTCTAAACTTCAGATAAATGACAATAAATATATCATTGGTTTGCTTAGATGATGTCATATTAAAATTTGTTACATTATTTAAGAATTAAAATTATTCGTCATTGAATTTGAGAAAATATAATAATGTAAAGTCACTAGAATTATTCCTAACCTAAGATACATGCAGGTTGAGATTCGCGTTTTGAGGGATGTCTACAACTACATCAGAAATTGCCATTTGTTACTATTTTTATAATTTATATGGAAATGATGCAAATCCATAAGATATTTAATAAAAAAAGTAACACACCATTTAAAAAAAATTTTACCTGCTGTTTATACTGCGATAGACTAATATCACTCATATTTATAAATATTATAGACTGCAAAAAAAAAAAAAAGTGCAAGTATTTAAATTTAGATAACAATAATCGCACAAAAAATACCCGAAATACTAAGCTAAATAAATGTATATTCTTTTTGCTTCACAGCCTTGAAAATTTTAAGCATATGTTCTATGAAAATATAAAGAAATCAAGGTAAGTTTCAAAAATATACATTAAATGATTTTTTTTTTTTTTAACGGTATTGTTTATATTTGTGACCGTGGTATTTGGCTGCCTACATTTGCTCAATTATAGAAACATTTTTCCATATAACGCTTTGGTTGGTCTCAATTGGGTATAATATAAAAAAAACACAACTACTTCCACTTAGTAGGAATAACATTTACCATGACGCAATGCTAAATTCTATGCCACTATCCACATAAATCAATTATTAATCAAAAATCGAATATCAATTACTTTTCTTTATAATGCAATAAAAATCTGTCGAGCAGCTATTTAAACGATCAAACACTTCGTTTGTTTATTTGTGGCTTGAAGTTAGGCTCGCAGAAAATGCCGTTCATGGGTTAAATTTAGTAGGAATAACACAACCTGTGACGTAGGCTATAGTATACCCAATTGAACAATTCACTGCATCTTATGAAATGCTTATAGATGACGCTCATGAATCATTATGACTGAAATCTAAAAAAATATAAATAAATTAACTTGATTATTTACCTGACAGAAGGAAAGGTATCTTTTGAAAACTTCTGCGTTTTTCGAGAATTTTTGTCTGGCAGACGCTTGGCGAATTTTTTTGCTTTGTGAAATTCATTTATAATTAATTATTTTCATTGCTAATCAACATTTATTGGAAAGATTACTAATTAACATTTATTAAAAAGAACAAATGCTACAATTTTTGAAATAACGCATCTATACAGCTAAAAATATTTGTGTCAATTTGTTTTTTTTTAAATTCCCAAATAAAAATAATAAGACTATTTTATAAAAATATCAACTACTTTTATAAAGGCATACGAAAAAAATAATATTTCTTCATAATAAAACTCTCGAAATGGTCGGCTGCTTAGTTTTCCCCCACTTAACTGGAAATATAATTTATGTACAAAGATATTAGCACTATCTATGGTTTTACTTTTGGGAATTTTTAATTTTTTTTTTAAAGAATTTTTTTCAAAAAAAGTTTTACAATGTTTTTTATTATATTGATTATTATAATTAACCTTCCTTGATATAAATGGGAGTTTAAGTTGACTTTTACTTTAGCTTAGAATTATGAAAAGCGACTTCGATGATACTGGAAAGTAATTTTAATTTAAATTGCACAAAGCAAGGATCAATTTAAAATTTCCAAAAAGGAGAAAATCTTAATAATGAAATAGATTTATTATTTATGGATTAAACTCCCTGATTTTTGACTGATTCGCACCAAACTTGGAGTAATAAAGAAAAATGAGGGAGAGAGATAAAGAAAGAGTACCAGGACAAGGGGAAAGAGAAAGGAGAAAGGGAGAGGAAACGGGGGAGGATAGATCACTAGGGTACCCCGAGGCGTGACTCCCTGTGTTTAGCTAAAGAAGGTAAACCCCCTGAGGCAGGGCCGGATTAACCTATAGGCACACTAGGCACGTGCCTAGGGCCTACGAAATTTAAGGGCCTGCGAAAAACTTGGGAGAAAAAAAATTTTTGACACAAATAATTTAACTTTAAAAACAACAAGTGTATTTTGCACAAACCAGACCAGGTGACCAGACTCATGTTTTCTTAAATAACCGTCAGCCATTTTAGATTTAATATCACCAAACAATGAATGCAAATCCAATTGTTGACTATAATTTATGATCCTGAAAAATATATATAAAAAACATTGGTCAATTGCTAAAATGACTCATTTGAAAAAACGTGACTAACATTTTATTAAAATAGTATTAAATCATTTTTTTTTCTATTAGTAAACATTTAACCTACCTTGCAAATTTATTTATAAATAATTTCAAAAGATTTACTTTTGACAATGTTAATTTCCTTCACTTAGTTATCATAGTAGTATCATGAAAACTATGAAGCTATTTGTAGTATAAATATTTCTTGTAATTAATCTCACTATCAATTTCACTGTTTTCTTTGCTGGTTTGTTGTTGTATTGTTGACGTGAAGTGTTTACATAGTTATCGATCGAACTAATCATAATGGTATTATCGATATCAACTGCAATATCGGCAGTATGTCGGTATTGCAGATAAAGTTCGATAAACAAATTTGTAAATTAAAATCCATATTAATAAAAATTTAAAAAAAAATATGCAAGAAAATTTTAGCATATATTTTGAAAAGAGGGGAGGAGGGGGGGAAGGAGGGGAGGTCCCAAAAACGGCTATGCCTAGGGCCTACGAAAGGTATAATCCAGCTCTGTGCCTAGGGCCTACGAAAGGTATAATCCGGCTCTGCCCTGAGGGCATTGATTATCAATAAGACATCGGTAATTCTTTGTGCAAATTTTATTTTTATCGTTAAAGTTAAATGAAAAACTTAATTGTTAAAGTTACACAGAAAGTTATGGGTAATTTTTTGTGCAACTTTTGTGTTAATAATTGAATTTTCCCGAAAAAATTCCCATCTTAATGACTAAAAGGAGCGGAATATACAAATGGGCAGGCGGTATTTCAAATTATGAAATCAGATAGAAAACTGTACTTTCTCTGAATATGGTCAGGAGAGCTGTTGAAAATTTTGTAAAAATAGTAATTTCACTTTTTGAGTGCTCAGCCATTTCTTAAAAAGCTTTTAAGCGAATGAATATTTTATTTATTGAAGATATTTCAAATGCAAAAAAAAAAAAATTTTCTTTCAGTACTGGTTGAACATTTTTTGAATCGTAAGAATAACAAAATTTTACAACTCTTTAAATAATGATTATTTTAAAGGACAAGACTCGAATGAAATTAGATTAATAGTTCTTGAGAAACTAAAATTTTAAAATATGTCTTTTTTGAAAATTCATCAGTCAAAAGCAAAAATTTCAAAATTTTCTACTGTTTCCCCCCCCCCTTAAAGTACATACCCACGATGGTAGCCGTACTCTATCTCTGGAGGAATGTATGCATACAGGTGTCAAATTTTCAGACATTTGCATTTGGATGAGTGTGACTGCGACTGCAGAGAAAAGTGCAGCAGCTGGAATGAGCAAAATAATAATAATAATAGTAATAATAATGAATAGAGTTCAAAAATTAATCAAGCTTTATAAAACAGACAGAAAATATATAATTTATGTGAAATAAAACCTAAAACCTAATGAAAAAAACCTAAAAAAAAAAAAAAAAAATGCGGATAAAAATCTAAGGTCATATTTTAAATTCATTATTGTTTGCATGTTAGCTGAAATTATTAAAAAAATGAGTTATTTACAACAAAATATGTTTAAATTTATTCCTAAGGTACATGCTAAGTATATTTAAATTATATATTTCAAACGCTATAAAACTTTATTATTAAATTTCTTTGAAAATCATACTGTATTCCTTATAAAATTTCCTCGAGTTAAATATTTACCTGTTTGAAAAATTATTTCTTAACTTGCTAAATACCCGCTCAACGTATGGAGTGAATTAAAAAGAAACCCAATTAATCATTACTGAACAATACTACAAAGTCATGCTCGAAGCATGAAGACCTATATCGATACAATTGAAGAGCTTCGTGAAAAACCGGGTAAGTGACATTTTTAGGGGTATTTATGAATCAGTGAAAATAGCAAAAAGTGGTTGGATCCATATGGGTTTATGGAATGCCACAGAATTGTTTTTCTTTCAGTTTTATCTTAACTAATCAGCATCAGTTTTTAGTATACGCTTGCACGTCTTTTATTTTCAAATTAGGCAGTGGTAAATAAAATAATAAAAATAATTATTAGTCTCGCTTTTTAATAAATCGATATTAAAATAATATTGCTGAGATCACTTCTTACCTTGATTATAGTCTCTCTGAAAATGTCAGTTTTCTGTCTCTTCCACTAAGATCTTCAATTAATAAAGATAAAATAATTAAATTTGCTTTTTATTTATTTTAATTTTTTGCCCTTTCTTTCGACTTTACGCTATTATATTAGGCAAAACACGTTTTTTCTTTTAGTTTATTCTCTTAGAATAGAGATTAACAAGAAAAGTAACTTGAAAAAAATATACATAAGTAAAGTCGTAAGAGAAAAGTAAGGCGTTGCAATAAACTTTAAAAAGAATGGATAAAAATGAAAGAATTATAGTAACCCATAAAGAAAAGTAACGTGTAAAATTAAGGATAAAATAAAACATATAAGGAAAAATAAGACGTTAAATATTATGCGCAAAATTAAAAGTATCGTGAAAGAAAAGAAAATTGTTTAAGTAACTCATAGGAAAAGTTAAAATTGCTCATAATAAAAGTAAA